AAATCCTTACTCCTGTATTTTTTTTTAAAAGTAAAAATACTATATAGATAGTAATTAAATTTCCACTGCTATGAAATTGTTCTTTATAGGCATTTATCATGTGGGCTCAGTTCACTTTGTGAAAACTAAAGTGGGTTTAAGTGTGTGTTAACCCCATACTGTTTGGTTTGATGTATAAATACTGAAAAGCTTAGTCAACATGGTTTATAGAAACAATTTTATAAAAGTGTGAAAATTAAAGTCTTACCAATCGGTCACATAATTAACAGGGTCTAAAATAATTCTGTTGTCCCCCACTGTCACCGTCCTGCGCCTTTTATCAAACACAGCGTACTCTTCTTCGTCATTTGTAGATGTCAAAACCTAAAGCCATCATTACACAGAATGATTATGTGTTTCACCCGTGTTAGGTGTTTATACTAAACGACAAAATCATCCAAATAATATAAATTTGAATTATTAAAAAAATATATGATAGGTACTTTTATTTTCGTTGTTCTGACTTCGAATTAGGGAAATTTTTATAGGTCTAACCAGTGTTAATGCTTCAGTGAAAGAAAGATTACCTCACGACAAAATTTCTCTGCAAGCGCACATAAGCGCACAAGATCTATTTTCCTGCCTTTGCTGCAGCTTATACCCCTATCTTGCAGATACTTCTTTAGATCTGGTTCTTGAAAGCCGTAAAAATGAATCTGTTCTGTTTTAGTTATGAGACGTTGTAAAAGCGGAAGTTTACGTGCTGAACGTTTTTGACATGGCGTGACGAAACAACGAATAAAAAAATTGTTCGGATGAACTCGAAACGTGGCTATTATATCAAAATTTCATGCCATTGACAAGTCAAAAATACAGCATTCGGTCATTCAAATATCTTAAATCACGTGACTACCGCATCACATGACAAGTCAAAATATAAAATCTAATCATCCTAAATATGTAGTTATTAACCATAATTACAATTATCCGATATAAGTAATGTTCTCAAAAAAATCGCCATACCGAATATGAATACATTTTTTATTACAAAATATTGTTGATTTTTCTATTGCGCACCTTAACTGTACTGCGAATAATACGTGTATTATTAATCAATATAAGTCAAGTATTTAACAAAGAAAAAGTTTTTTTTTAGAACTGGAGTCTGCCATATTTATATTCACCACGACACATGATTTCAGACGTGTAATTTGAACTTCGGAGTCAAAGAATCAAAAACATTTTATTTAATCTAACAAAAACAAAAACCAAAACCACAAACACAGAGAGAACTTAATTTTCTTATTATATATTCTTTCAATTCTAAAAAAATCGCCTTCTCTTTCGTTAATTTTTTTCTTTCTTATTGATTTTTTTTAATTTATGTTTTGTTTCTCATTGATTTTTTTAAGCAGACTCTGAAATCAATGTATGAATTTGTTTGGAAAAGTAGAGATGAAGGACAAGATTGTTATATGAATAAACAGTTTTTACATGTATATCCAATCATGGAAAAGGACGATAATATCACATGCATCCTAACAACAATCTCTATGAAAAATTTGATTACGTTAACTCTTTAATCGGTAATTTCCCTTCTTTATGTAGCGGTTAACCCTTATCACCTGCATATTTGATTTATTCCCCAGTTGTCAGGAAACGGAAGAAGTTGCTCCGTGTTTCCTTTAAAAAAAGAGTTAAATATATTTCACATTCCTAACTATATTGACTTTTCATGCATTTAGCATATCTTGCTAACAAAAATGTTTCATTAGAAGTAATGGGTAGTATTTACAGGGTTTCAATTACAAAGCTTTTTTTTCGATAAAACAGCATTGTTTCATTGCCTTGAGCACAATTTAACACTTTTAACTGTTAAATAAGATTAAGTACCCATTATAGACTCAATGTTATAATGGTTTCTTTGTATACTGCGTTTTGTATCCAATATAGAAATAACTTTTTTAAAAGACAGAGCATAATATTAACTGTAGCTTGTCGTTGGGATAGGATACCCCCCGTATCCATTTGGAGCGGTTGATTTCAGAAGGCAATAAACCAATTTGACGAAGGAGGGGAAGTAGCAGTCAAATAGATTATTTAATTGATGCATATATTTAACATGACATTAAGGTGCTCACAAATTAATTATTACATTGTTCTCAGTAACAAAGCGAAAGAAAAAAAAAACCTTTTACCATCGAATTATCGAACGATCTTTACAGTGAAAATCTTTTTTCTTTATTTTTGCATTGATTTATGTTTTGGTTTAAGATGAAGTTCACCCCATTTTTAGCTCACCTTAGCCGAAGGCTTTTCTGATCAAAATTTGTCCGTCGTCTGTCGTCGTTGTCGTTGTCGTTGTTGTCGTCGTTGTAAACTTTTCACATTTTCTTCTCCTCAAGAACCACTGGGCCAATTTCAACCAAACTTGGCACAGAGTATCCTTGGGTGAAGGGGATTCAAGTTTGTTCAAATGAAGGGCCACGCCCTTTTCCAAGGGGAGATAATCATGAATTTGTTAAAAATTAATGGCATTTTAAAAAAATCTTCTTCTCCAGAACCGCTGGGCCAGGAAAGATGAAACTCATGTGGAAGCATCCTCAGGTAGTGTAGATTCAAGTTTGTTCAAATCATTACCCCCGGGGCAAGGGTGGGGCCAAAATGGCCGACCCAAGTTTTACATAGGAATAGATAGGAAAATTCCTTAAAAATCTTTTTCTCGAGAACCACCGGGCCAGGAAAGATGAAACTCATGTGGAAGCATCCTCAGGTAGAGTAGATTCAAGTTTGTTCAAATCATGACCCCCGGGGCAAGGGTGGGGTCAAAATGGCCGACTCTTGTTTTACATAGGAATATATTGGAAAAATCTTAAAAAATCTTCTTCTCGAGAACCTCTGGGCCAGGAAAGATGAAACTCATGTGGTATCATCCTCAGGTAGTGTAGATTCAAGTTTGTTCAAATCATGACCCCCAGGGCTAGGGTGGGGCCAAAATGGCCGACCCAAGTTTTACATAGGGATATATAGGGAAACTTTTTAAAATCTTTTTTTCAAGTATTTCAAAGCTATGATTAGTGATATTTATATGTAATCATCCTCAGGTAGTGTAGATTCTAATTTGTTCAAATGATGAACGCCTGGAGGGGGGGGGATAAATTCAAGCCCGATGTGCTCTGGTGAGCGCTGTGACCCCTGGGCCTCTTGTTATTATTTCTTTGATCACATGAAAAAGTAGAAGAAAGGATTCCTTTTATCACTTGAAAATTTGACTTCGTGTTTCCTTTAAAAAAGAGTTGAATATATTTCACATTCCTAACTGTATTGACTTTTCATGTTTTGAGTCAAGAGACTCAGCCGATAGATAAAAAAAGTGAAAACATGAATTCAAATAAAATCAAAAATAACTTTTTCTTTCCAAACACTATGAGAGATTTTACGGTCTTCATTTATTGTTTATTGACACTTCAGTGACATTCTCCTTTTTTTCTAGAGAGCTAATAAGAGATATGTTTTAAATGTTCAAGTTTCGGGGTATATAGTTTTTGTCTGGTCCATCTGTCTGTTTGTCTTCAAAAACTTTAACCTTACCCATTACTTTTTATTTAGTGGAGCTATGACATTCATCTTTTATAGGTGTTTTCCTTGTGAATAGACCTTTCTTTGGGAACCACAGAATTTGACATTTTGACCTTGACTTTCGAGTTTGACCCATTTTACACAAAAATTTTGAACTTTTACTTTGGCCATATCTTTTAAACAGACATTTTTACAAGGACATTTATACTTGACATATGCTTTTTGTAGAAAGACCTTTTTTGGATACAAACAAACGTGACCTATTGACCAAAACCTTGGAAATTTCTGTACTTAAGAAAAAACTTTATCCTCCGCTATAACTTTTAAAAAGTAAGTGCTAGGACTTCCATACTTCACATATGTAATCCTCGTGAAAAGACGCTTGGAGTTTGACCTACTTTAAAAAAATAACCTTGACCATAATTTTTGAAGGGCTAGGAATAGGGCTTTCATACTTCACGAATTTAATCCTTGTGACAAGACCTTTTATTTTATACCAAGAACTTTAACCCTTCGACTTTGACCATGGCGTTTGACCCACTTTTACCTAAAAATTCCACATTTAACTTTGGCCCTAATTTTTAAAATGGTAGATACTAGGAATTTCATATTTCAAATTTCAATTCTTTTTGCAAGACCTTTCATTTGAAACCAGTAATTTTGACTTTTGGCATTGACCTTGGAGATTTCCGTACAAACGAAAAAAATTTAATCTGGTCATAACTTTTGAACGGTAAGGGCTAGGACTTCTATACTTCAAGTATTTAATTATTAAAGAAGATCTTTCATTGGATATCAACAACTTTGACCCTTTGACCTTGACCTTGGAGTTTGACCTACATTTTACAAACTTAAACCTTGGCCATATTTTTTTAACAGTTTTTAAGATATTTCACATATGTAATCCTTGTGACAAGACATATCATTGAATATCAAAAACCTTTACCCTTTGACCTTGGCCATAACTTTTAAACGGTAAGGGCCGTACTTCCCATAAGTAATCTTTGAGACAAGGCCTTTCTTTAAAAATCAACAACCTTGACCCTTTGACCATTACCCAAGAGTTTGTCCTACCTTCAATAATTATAACCCTGGTCATAACTTTTGAACACGTGGTGCAAGGATCTTATAATTCACATTTTGTATTTCATCTGGAAAAAATGCCTTACTTTAGGTACCAACATATTTGATCTGCATTTGAGAAATTTTAACCTTAGCCATGTTGCCATACGGGGACATCAGTGTTTCACAAACACATCTTGTTTTTGAAATTATTATTTTCGTTTCCTTCTATCCTTATCTATTTATTTTAATTTTCAAAACTGATGCTAGCCTAATATAAATCGCAGTGTTTACATTCTAAGGAAATAATTAGGTTATCTGAAAGCCAGTGACCTTAAAACGGGGTAATAGGATTCTCTTTCCTTTTACTTCCTCCTTAATTGAAATGAGTGCTCTGTGTGGGATATGGATCTTTTTATTTATCAAAGTTATTCATTGTTACGGTATGATCCTACCTATTGCACTATTTGTCTTTAATTTCTAATTTGATTCACTAGCATTTTTTAATCCTTGACGTTCTGAATATATATGAATGGCATATAAAAAATTAATGAACTGTTACCAATAAACAAGCTCTCAAGGGTGCAGAGCAAATATTTACCTACATTGTATGTTGTCAAAAGAGATAGAATCCAATGTACGAGTGTATGATACTGTTGGTGATTCACTTTAATATTAACTTTCATAAATAAATTTCTGTTCCTTTGCCAAGTGCATTTGAAATGAAAGTCGCGGTCTCCCGGAAGTCAGATAACTATCGGTTACTAAAAATACATTTTTTACATGAATGAAATAACAACAATTATTAGAATAATAATTGTATTTATGTATTTAATGCGATAATTTGTTTGGAGGTTTTCGGAAACATTTACATTGGTAAATTGTGAAAATTCTCAGATCCACGCCTTGCCTAATTGTAATGGAATGTGTAAGGTCACGTGGTCAGCTCAGCGAGTCATTCACACTCGCGCGCTCACCACCGCTAACATGAAGCACGTCTATTTTGAATGACAAAGAAGTAAAAACAAATATACAATTGGAGATCAGGACCCATTCTTTGCCGGGAATCCATTTTTGGCGTCATAGAGGTTCTGGCATGACCTAAACTATCTGGGTCCTGATGGTGTAAATCTGTGCTGCACCCCCTCGCACGACCAACCTATGCGGAAGTTCCTTTGAAGTATAAGGAATGCAGTTATTCAATCGCCAAGCTTATTAAGGCCAGTATAACTTTTTGTCTCATTCTACATGAATTGCACACTGGGGTGCTTATGTTTGTGGTAGGCTACCAAGTTTTAAGGTCATAAGAGAGAATTAATTGCTCTGTCAGTCAGTGCTGTTCGTTAAAGGCTAGTTGATGTCTTGATGGCTGTTTGCTGTTAGGCAATAAAATCAATGTTCGAAATATTTAGAGTCATGCATGCATGTTTGGTGAACTTGTTACTGACGAGACATATTCAGGACCAGGTGGCTCATAATGACAATGGTTTCGTCTTATGAAGCAGTTATTTATCTGGGCATTGTTTCGCATTATCTCGTTTCTTTATTGTTTATTCTTTCGTACAATATAGGTAGGAAACTAGAAGTCAAAGTATATATTCTGTCTGATTATTATTAATTACAATCGGTATGACGTTTAGGTCTTATGTACTTATCGTTTGGAAGTAAAGGTACACAGTCAACATATGAACCTACCCACGTGTTAAGCAATAGTACAGAGTAGGCCGCATATAAGTACTCATTGTATGGGAGTCTAGGTGCAAAGTTTATCTGTGCTTACCCATGTTTAACAATGGTACGGAGTAGGCCGAATATAAGTACTCATTGTATGGGAGTCTAGGTGCAAAGTTTATCTGTGCTTACCCATGTTTAACAATGGTACGGAGTAGGCCGCATATAAGTACTCATTGTATGGGAGTCTAGGTGCAAAGTTTATATGTGCCTACCCATGTTTAACAATGGTACGGAGTAGGCCGCATATAAGTACTCATTGTATGGGAGTCTAGGTGCAAAGTTTATCTGTGCCTACCCATGTTTAACAATGGTACGGAGTAGGCCGCATATATGTACTCAGTGTATGGGAGTCTAGGTGCAAAGTTTATCTGTGCCTATCCATGTTTAACAATGGTACAGAGTTAAGGCCGCATATATGTACTCATTGTATGGGAGTCTAGGTGCAAAGTTTATCTGTGCTTACCCATGTTTAACAATGGTACAGAGTTAAGGCCGCATATATGTACTCATTGTATGGGAGTTTTTAGGTACAAAGTTTATCTGTGCCTACCCATGTTTAACATTGGTACGGAGTAGGCCGCATATATGTACTTATTGTGTGGGAGTTTAGGTTCAAAGTTGTTATGTACCTATCTATCCAAGTATTAAATAATAGTACAGAATTGTAGTCTTCCTTAATGTTTTTTTTTTACCAGTCGCACTTGATTAAATGGTTTTGTCTATCAAGTTTCTAAACTGTGCTTATGTTTATGGTTTGTACCTAGGGATAAACATTGGATTTATAAGTTCTATATTGTTTTATTGCTAATGATTGTTTGAGGAAGTTCAATTGCGATTGCACTGTGTGCTTCACTTAAGTAATTGTTGATACGTTACCCAGTGTTTAGTTGAATTAAATTTTTCATTAATTTGCACATATCGTAAGGCGACAAGATATATAAAGTGAATGTTGGGTAACAGGTAAACATTATAATCAAGATTCTATCATTTTGGTATGTTTTACACGATTTTAGTATTGTTTTCAGTTAGCAATAGTACAGAGTATGCCGCATATATGTACTAATTGTGTGGGAGTTTTTGGGTACAAGTTTATCTGTGCCTACCCACAGTTTTAAGCAATAGTACAGATTAGGCCGCATATATGTACTTATTGTGTGGGAGTTTTGGGTACAAAGTTTATCTGTGCCTACGCACGGTGTTTATCAATAGCACAGAGTAAGCCGCGTATATGTTCTTATTGGTGGGAGTCTAGGGTTCATTATTTATTTGTACCTATCCACATGTATAAGATAAGAACAAGGCTAAGGGTTTCTTTGTACTAGTAACAGTTTATGTCGTGTTATATTTTTTGATTTGGAGATTTTTTAAGTTAATTGTGGTCGAAGAAATGAAATTTCTCAAGATCAATGGCTTTAATTCGTTGTGCATTGGCATACCTATGTTCAAGGAGTTTGTTCCTGGTATCCTTGTAGATTTTACATATATACCAACAAGAGGTAGTTATCCATTTGTTTGCACATTATGACATTTGCGTCTAATGTGGCAGGATTTCATTTAGTGTAGAGTTATCCGTACGCTTGATGTTCATGTTTTGTGCGGAATTTATATGTATGCATATGGGTCGAAGTTATCCATACTTTCACTGTTTGGTTTTAAAGTATATATGCCCTATTACATCTAAACATAGTGGCAACTTCATTTCATGTTCATTGCAGTCAATTGCAAGAAAGAGTATCACAATACTTCTTAGTTGCTACAAAGTACATGTTACAAATAGTGGTATCTCCTATACATGTGACATTTTATTCTTTTGTAATGGAGTTAACATATTTATTCTGATTTATCGACATTTCTTTAATTTGCTATTTGATAAAATTGGTAGAATCATGGAATATGTAGAATTTCGTCAAAGCGAATTCTCTCAGCAGAGAATGAATCGATTACTATCAGTATGATTGTAATACAATATATATTTGATATAACGGTTATTCTACAGGAGGAAATTTACTCTTTCTGTTCAATGTTGCTACATTTAGTGTTTCTATGAGCATGATAATGTACATGATGTATCACTTTGTTTACAACTCAGTTGTTGGTTTTTGGCGTCCTTTCTTTAAATGACACCTTAGACTTAAAAGTATTCATATAATTTTTATGTTTAAGTTGCAGATGCCTTTTGATGAATTTGCCAGTGTGCAAATTTGCTACATCCTAGCAGCCCGAGTGAAGAGGAAGCGTAGCTATAACTGTTAATAGCCCAGAGAGCCTAGCAGAATGGTGCCGGTGTAAAGACGAATAATGACCCCCATCGAATAATGACCGGGGGGTCATTTTTCAACGACAAAAAATGACCCCCACCCGTAGAAAAAAATCATTTTTTGTAGAAAAAGGGTCCTAGGGGATCATTATTTTATATGTAAGTCCTATAAAATAATGACCCCCATTGAAAAATGACCCCCTTTAACGTGATACAAAATATACACTCTTTGATATCTTTTTTACAGCGAAACTAATTTTTACATTTTCTGTAACCAGAAAAATACGAAAAGTCGTATGAAATAATTAAGAGATTCACGTAGTCTTTCAATGCTAAATTGTGTTTGAAAAGAGATTCTTTAATTGTCAAGTAAATAAAATTTCTTTTTAATATTCCTCCTTATAATGTTTGCTTAAAGAATGATACACCATGCAAAAATCAGGTTTAAATACTCTTTAATAGGAAAAATTAAATTTTCCGTCATTTCAACTTTTAGTTTGTTTAAGTTTGGCAAATCCTATTTGACAATGAAAGAGGAAGAAATTTTTATCCCCCCCCCCCAAAAAAGAACATTACGTTAAATCAAAACAAAAAAAATAATAATAAATGAAAAGCAGAAATATAAATAAAACTCTATACCTTTCAATAATACTAAAAGAGGCTGTAGATAAAATATTGAAATGAAGTTAAGCATTCACACAAGTACTATCATATCATAATTTACTTCGCCATGATTAAAGCATACTTAAATGTTGGTGGAGGTATATACTTGAAAGTATTGTGGCAAAGTAACAGTTAAAAATTAGTAGAATAGTAGATTATTTTTAATTATAGAAAAATAAAGGTACGGTGGTTATTTTTTGCTTTTGTTCAATATCGACTTCCTCCTAAATAAGAAGGGGGTGGGGTAAGTATAAGACCTAAAGATATGCTCTGTAAACTATGGGCTAGTGTAAAATACACAGTCATTCTAATGCAAAAACTATACATGTAGACATAAACTTTTGATTTAGCACACAGTATTCATTACATTTCTTTTAACGTAGAACCTACTTCGAATGACATCATAACTTGTAAATGTGTTAAACCTGTGCTAACCCATTAAGACGTCATAATTAATTCAATGCCACTTTTTCCCGTACTTGACAGCTTCAATAAAAATGGTAGAAAATACTGCATTTTGAAATTCACAGAATTCAATCATGCCAACATAATCTTGATTCAATTCATATACTTTTTGGTTTATAATGCTTAATGGCAATATATTTCTGGAATAAGAGAAAATATGTAGGCACCTTTTATTTACTAGATCTAGACCTGAAGTTGACAAACCCAAGACTATCTAGTATAATGAAATTACAATGTACATACAACTTTCGTAATAATTTGAATGGTATGTAACCATTTGAAGGAATGCATAAATCGTAAGAAATCTTTAGTTGCCAGCTATAT